GCGTGCTGCGGCCGAAAAATTCTGAAGGAATGCAGGATCACCCCTGGTGTCATTGCACACCTGCTCGATCATTTGGTGCAACACAGGATAGGCAGGGTGGTTTTGGGTGATACAGGGAGTAACAGGCAGGGCAGTTTTGGGCGCTACAGGGACTAATAGCCAGGGTGGTTTTGGGTGATACAGGGACTAATAGCCAGGGTGGTTTTGGGCGCTACAGGGACTAATAGCCAGGGTGGTTTTGGGTGCTACAGGGAGTAAAAGGCAGGGTGGTTTTGGGCGCTACAGGGAGTAAAAGGCAGGGCGGTTTTGGGCGCTACAGGGAGTAACAGGCAGGGCGGTTTTGGGCGCTACAGGGAGTAATAGTCAGGGTGGTTTTGAACACTACAGGGAGTAATAGGCAGGGCGGTTTTGGGCACTACAGGGAGTAATAGGCAGGATGGTTTTGGATGCTACAGTGAGAAATAGGCAGGGTAGTTTTGGGCGCCACAAGGAGTAAAAGGCAGGGAGGTTTTGGGCGCTACACGGAGTAATAGGTTGGATGGTTTTGGGTGCTACAGGGAGTAACAGGCAGGGTGGTTTGGGTGATACAGGGAGTAATAGGCAGGGCAGTTTTGGGCGCTACAGGGAGTGATAGGCGGGACAGGGAGTGATAGGCGGGCCCAAAACCTCCCTGCCACAGGGAGTAAAAGGCAGGGAGGTCTTGGGCGCCTCACGGAGTAATAGGTTGGATGGTTTTGGGTGCTACAGGGAGTAACAGGCAGGGTGGTTTCGGGTACTACAGGGATGAACAGGCAAGGCATTTTTTAGCCCTACAGGGAGTAATGGGCAGGGTGGTTTTCGGTGATACAGGGAGTAATAGGCAGGGCGGTTGTGGGTGATACAGTGACTAAACAGTGAACTTATCTTCAGGCACGTAGCCAAAGTTTTGTTTGCCCATTGCAAAAAAGAATGTTCATCCTGTTGAACTCATTTTAACCCCGATTTTGCTTTTAAAAATCTCCGTCCCATTGCAATTTTTCCACTCTACACAGCGTCTTTTCTGTGTGATACGTATGTAACATGGACAGACACACTGCAAGGAAAAGGGTGCTTTAAAGGACAAATTCAATTTCTAATAGGCACTTCCAGTGACATTATTGAGCCATTTTACATTGTTATCAAACCAAAATATAACAGTTTTCACACTGGCTTCAAATTTATGATGCGATTAGGGTTACGTACGAACAGGGACAGACATTTGTTCGAAGCTTGCAATGTTTACAGCAAAAAATTGAGAGACCAAGATCATACTTTTATCATCAAAACTTAAAGGTCTTCTCAAATGTCACACTTTTGGGCCCATTAGTGTGGAATTGCCCAGTTTTTTTTTATCTATTACCATCGTCATGAAATTCCCCATGTAGATTGTATGCCCGTTTTTGATCAAGATCCTGGAGGTACCCTGGGGATTTCCCCTACTCTGGTTGGAAATTTTCCAATCGGACACTTATCCAGCCCTCCGCTCCTCCCCCTGTCAGACTGATGTCATAATGTGGGTCACGTTAAGCGGCCAGCAAACGTAGTTACTGTTTTTCACCGGTCCCCCAATAACATGACTGATAGATCGGAAGTTATCACGTCTGGAACTGTCGCACCAAATCAGGAAACCCATATGTTTAAATGTCCCCGTTTTCCTCCCTACATTTTGTGCCCTGGGGCACTGGCCATCGCAAATATTGATGTTATATTTTAATGTATTGCTCATAATACCCTCCTTTTGGCTTCCTGATAATGTGAGCACATTTGCAGCCTGTTTTTTCGTTTTGCCTTAATTGTCGGCAATTAGACCCGTATTTACAAGGTTCCCAGCCTCTGTGGAAATCAGGGAAAACCTCAAAAAATTACTGTCTTCCAGTTGGGGGAAAACCGGGGAAAACTCAAAAAAAAATCGGGGATAACTCCGGGAATTTGACAGTGACATAGAGGAAGGGAAAGGTTTTCCCAAGAAAATTTTGTGTGTGTGCATCTTGGTTGCTTTGCTGCAACCACCTCTTGACTTCCCAGCAATGTCGTTATTAAAATTGAAAACTTTGTCATTGAATTTCTGATATTTTTCAGGGAAATATCAGGGGAAAATGAGGGAATATTGTTTGCATGAAGTGCTAGGAACCCTGATTTCAGCATGGACGCCGTGCATTAACAATAGATTGTGCTTCGCGATGACTCGTGAGAGCTCCATGTGCAGGACACACTGCACTGGTTTAGGGAGAAATGCAAAATTTAACTGTTGGTGTCTCGAGATTAAACTCAAGGTTTTGTGAGGTTTTACAGGGTTTACAAGGGAATCGTTTTGTTTGCGCATGTGATGAACCTCAAGGTTTTGTGAGGTTTTACAGGGTTTACTAGGGAATCTTTTGGTTATAACATGTGCGTCCGCAGACTGTTGGTGACTCGAGATGAACCTCAAGATTTTATGAGATTTTACAGGGATTACCAGGGAATCGTTTGTTTGCACTTGTGATGAACCTCAAGTTTTTATGAGATTTTACAGGGATTACAAGGGAATCGTTCGTTTGCGCTTGTGATGAACCTCAAGTTGTAATGAGATTTTACAGGGTTTACAAGAGAATCGTTTGGTTGTGCATGTGATAAACCTCAAAGTTTTGTGTGGTTTTACAGGGTTTACATGGAATCGTTTGGTTGCCCATGTGCGTCCATAGACTGTTGGTGACTCGAGATGAACCTCAAGATTTTATGAGATTTTACAGGGATTACCAGGGAATCGTTTGTTTGCGCTTGTGATGAACCTCAAGTTTTTATGAGATTTTACAGGGTTTACAGGGAATCGTTTGGTTGTGCATGTGATGAACCTCAAGTTTTCATGAGATTTTACAGGGTTTACAAGAGAATCATTTGGTTGTGCATGAGATAAACCTTAAGGTTTTGTGAGATTTTACAGGGTTTACAAGAGAATCGTTTGGTTGTGCATGTGATGAACCTCAAGTTTTTATGAGATTTTACAGGGTTTACAAGAGAATCGTTTGGTTGTGCATGTGATATATACCTCAAGTTTTTGAAAGAATTTGGAGGGTTTACAAAGGAATCGTTTGGTTGCCCATGCGCCTCCGTAGGCCTTTTTTGCTAATATCAGAAGTCACCATGGTAACAAGCGGATCATACACATGTGCTTGCTCTTTTGGCCAACTATGTCTTGTGCCTGTTTTTAGAGACATTGTTTTTCTTCTTTTATGTCATTCCTCCCAGACAATTCTCTGGGCTCCGTTTCAAGTGGAGTCATACCTGCTTCCTTTTTTGGGTTCTCTGTTTGGGGGAAAGACGGGAAGAAATTCATCTGTTATATTGCTGTCACTTAGATGACAGCAGTTAATATTGTCAAACACATAAGGAGGGTTGTTTTAATATTGGAAGGCTTTTGGGGGGCGGGACGGGGGTTGGGGAGTTTCCAGCGAGACATTTTGTGATTGACGGAGCGGAAATTGAGAACATTAATCGCTGGGGGTGCTTCAAGCTACAGCCAGGTGTATGTCTATTGCCAAGTGTTTGCATGAATCGGCCTAAAAAAAAGGAAAAAAGGTGTGGTTGGTTGAAGTCAGGCAGTCAGCGTGGTATATTATTTCTTCATCTTTGGCTCGGGTTCGAGTTCAACAAAGTGAACAAAGCACTAATTTGAAGTAAAAATCCTAAACACAACTGGGCCGGTTGCTGAAGAACTGAATATAGACCGGAAGCACTATTCGCTAGATCAGGGCCAAACATTGTTGTAGTTGAGCCCGCCACATGTCTGTCACAGGTCCGGTTAAAGGTAATCACAAGTCAAGACCCAAGTCACAGGGGAAGAAGTATAAGCAATCCTGAATGTTATAGACCACTATCATGTTGCAGCCATCTTGATTTTTTCCCATTCAAATTAACGTTTTTTCAACCAAAACGAGACTGGAAGAAAAAATAGTCTGGTTCCTTTTTGCACAAAAACATTATCATTCAGTACTGTTATTGGATACAGGGAACATGACTGAAATGGTGGCAGAATGATAAAGGCCTATTGTAACAGTTCACAGTTCTTTTGAATAGCTTGTGACTTGACTTGAGACAGGGGGACTTGTGATGGACTTGTGAGAGCTTGGGATAGACTGGATTGCAACACTGGTGCCAAATTGAGGGGAAAAAACTAACTTTGGTATATTGAATTAACCCTCCTATGTAAACATACATTCTGTGCCGAGTTGTCCTTTTAGTCAAAATCAATAAAGTGACTGTTTTCAACAGTTAAGTGCTCCCAGCCCACATAAAGCAGGATTGACTGTCCGTGACTGTTAATGTAACTCGATACAGCTTGCTTTGGCAGTGGGGTCATTGATAAACCAGCTGTGCCCTCAGATTGCCTGCTTTGTCTTTTCATGGTCTGTTGACTGAGGTTGACTAGTCACAGTGCTTGCTTGACATGATCTGACTGCTGGTGACTAGCCTGTGTTAAAAGTATAGCAGGGGAAGTGGATGGAAATGTTGACTGTCTGTGAATGTTTGAATAGCAGGAGGGTTGAGACGTTTAAATCAGGTAAACTAAATAAATAATAAACTGAGGGAGAGGGGTAATCGTCCGTACTCGCAGCAGAAGCTGAATTGCGGACGCAGCTACAACGTGGTCGAGCCAAAGGCAGCCACCTAACAAACCATGTCTGACCACGGAGCACAGCCAGATTGAAAGTGTTGAATTTTGCGGAGCGAGGAAAACAGCAGGACCCCCCCCCAAAAAAAAATCTTGGCGCAGACAGCTCTACTCAACATGACCGGAGATGCTGGGAATCGAACCCAGGCCACAGCAGTGAGAGGAAGGTGTTGAACCCACTGCACCACCCATGCCACCAGTGTTCAAATAAATGTGCATATAAAAATGTTCAAGTAACTGTGCAGTCTTAATGATAGCTCCAGAACATGCGCTCTGCCCCTTACCAAAAACTTTATCAACCTCATCGCATTTTTTCTCTCTCTCGCTCTCTCAGGGTTTCTTCCGACGCAGCATCCAGAAGAAGATTGACTACAAGTGTCACTTCTCGGGCAACTGCGCCATCGAGCGGATAAACCGCAACCGTTGCCAGCACTGCCGCTTCAAGAAATGCCTGGCCGTGGGCATGTCCAAAGAATGTGAGTGTTGGCTCCATAAACATTTATTTTGTCGATCGCAAAAGTTGCCGCTCTGCACAGTGCTGTATTGAGTGCAGAAAAGACTAACGTTTGTCAAATTCACATAATCCTGATGCAAAATTTGAGGGACGGGTGGCCTAGTGGTTGGAGTTTGTAACTCGTTGGTTGTGTCCTTGGGCAAGCCACTTCACCCCAACTTGCCTCTTTCCACCGAAGAGTGTAAATGGGCACCAACGTAAGCTGGAGAGTAACCTGCAATGGACTGGAATCCCATCTAAAATTCTCAGACGAATGGCTTGCCTTGATTAGCCGCTACCGGCTCGGGAACATACTTTATTTTTGACGAAAAATTCTATCAAATATTTCCTTTTTTTCCCTACAGCTGTCAGGATAGGCCGTTACTCCAAGCGCGTCAAGCAGAGCAACATGGACGAGATCAAGCGGTTGTCCAGCAAGCCAGAGACGGCGGCCGAGCGGGAGGCACGGGAGCGGCACGAGATGGAGATCTACACGCTGTCGCAGGCCGTGCTGCAGGCACACAACCTGACCTGCGAGTACACCAAGGAGAAGGTGGATGCACTGCTGCAGCAACAAGACAGCATCATGGTGAGAGGACGAGACGCGAACTGGACAGTCCATAATAATTATAACAATACAGTTTGCGCACACATCCACTAATGGAGTACCGAAGTGTGACATCATTTAGAACCAGAAAGTGGAGTGCAAACGAATGGAGTACGCGCGCGTTTTGGTTCACGGGCTGAATCACGCGCTATTGTCTTTTACACACATTTTGTGTGCGTGACGTATTCACTTCGGTACTCCATACTGGTGGATACGTGTGCTTTTTAAAGGGAATATACAACATTTGCAAACATCAAAACACGAAATGATCAAATCATCACGAAATATCTCACTGGATTATTAGGGAATGACAGCCTAAAGCATCCTTTAAAGTTGCGGCTCCTGGTGTGCTGACATTTTCAAGAAAAAGTGTATTTTTCCAACGCTGGTCGGCTTGACCAGCGTTGGAGAAAACTTTTATTTTTTCAAAAAGTGCTCCTAATGTTTCATATTTAGTTCGTCTGCGTTTTCTTTGCAATTGATTACATACCTGTGAAGACTACAAGCCTGCTAGACTGATTCTCATGATCTTAGAATTCTTCAAAGTCTATAAATTGCTCCGGTTCATCTTAAGTGGCGTCAGGGAACCAAACTACAAGAACATGATTGGTTGTCTTGGTTTTTCCAGCATCTACGAACCCAAAAAGTGAAACAAGTCAGTGTAACAATATTTTCTATAACATACTAATCCTCCAAATCCATTTATTTCTGAAAATTGCAGCAAAAGCACATGTTGTACATTCCCTTTAAATACTCATATTGATAACTCATGACCGGTGACCCGTGAGTCATTTACTCAATGTGAGATGCCACGTTCATGGTAAGTTATATTTTTCCTGATTTGCCTTAGATGAGGCTCAACGCCGGCGAAGACCTGAACATTCCTCCAACCGTGGACTACAGCAAGTGGAAGCCGGAGGAGCGATCCAACAGCAAAGTCTTTGCCTGGAAGATCTTCTGTGAGGCCATCATGCCTTGCACACAGCACGTGGTGGAGTTTGCCAAATGCTTACCGGGATTCCTCACATTACAGCAGGTATGACTTCCAACACCAAAAGTGCTTACAAGATTTGCTTAGTGCAACAAATATTTACTTAACAATGCTGGTTACCAGCCCGTCGTGCAATATGTTTTAATACGTATGACTGGTTCTCAGCCCTTTTTCCTCAGCACATAAGTAAGATTTGAGGCTTTGCATGGTGGAGATACTAAATAATGAAAGGTTTGCGGAAACACCATGTGCGAATAATTTCTCAACTAAGAGAATGGTTCTGAAAAGAACCAGAGGTATGAACTCAACGTTCCGGTCAGTATGCTCTGACCGGCCTAACCACCTAGGCCCTTTTGGCTAGGGACCATCCACAATCTTGCAGAATCCTCCAATTGCCACCAAAATCATCTGTTATTTCTGGAATTTGTTCAGTGGAGGGGTAACCACCGCCTGAATCCTTCAAAATCCTCCAATAATTAACCTTAGTACATGCGTGATTCGTATGATTCTTGTACTAAAAGAAAGCTAATGAAATGGACTTTCAAATCCGATATATATTGAAAGTGCTATATATGCAGAACTTCACTTAAAAAAATGGTTCCGACATTTGGGCTTTGTGGGTTTTTATACTCACCCTGTACACTGTACAGTGTTCTCCAACTTTGAAAATCAAAGGTTGGCGCTGGGGTCGGCGGGGACTCCTGCGAGCGCGGAGCGCGAAGCCCTTACGGCGTGGGGTCCGGGGCCCGCTTAAGGGCCCCGGGAAAATTTTGGATTGTAGATGCTCTGTGGTGCAATCTGAGGCGATTCTCCAGGCCAGTTCCCCCGATTTTTTTAGCATTCAAAAATTTCCTTTTCAACCTAAAGCAGACTTCTCTCAGATCAAATGACACCTTTTTGTAATTTGGAAAAACAAAATGGGATACAAATTACAGGTTTTTTTACGCGATTTTATGGGTGGTGCCGGTGCCGTGCGATCGTCATCTTTATTTTCATGTTGCGTTTTGTCGTTGTCATCGTCATTTTCCCCCAAAATTTCCCTCTATTTATGACCTACCTGTATGTTCTTAAATGTCGCCAACTAGTTTGGTAAGTCAAATAAATTAAAAGTGGATTTTGTTCTCTTAGGGAACCGGGCCCATACACGATCGCCATTTATAACTTTTGACAATCGGCATGATCGGAACATGTGCACGCGTGTTTTGGCCTCGAGCTCGTTTGCCTCGTACACATCAATGCGTATTATATTGTGTACCGCGTGTGCAAGCACTGAGAAAAAGAAAGTCGGTTGGCTGCACGTAAGATCTGCCGTACGTACTCCTGCTGGTGTGTGTGTGTACTAATACAGATATACATTTTTGCGGCGGGGTTGTCGCTACTTGAAGTATCGGCACACTACGGAACTGGGGATTCAGTTGTACATGTACATCGCGCGTACTATAGTACGTACGGGTGCATATGGGGAATCGCTGGTGTTTGCACGGCCGGCCGTGCGTGTGATTGATTCAGCGAGATTTTAAGACAACCCCGATCGGGCTGGGATGACATCGAAATACATTGTTAATGTGTGGAAAAACAACTGAAATCAATTATTTTAGTAGTAAATGTACACTGCAGAGTCAAAAAAATTAAACCTGGCGGCAGGATTTTAAAGCTTGGCGGGGACTTCTTAAACATGGCGGGCGCCGCAGAAAGCATGGCGGGGCGCCAGGTTTGTTCTACATGTTGGAGAACACTGACTGTAGTCAACCTCGTCCCCAGTGCTTACTTTATTTCCAAAATCATTTTCAATAGTAAGCCCTGGATAGGAAACTTTCTTCCTGTATCCTGATTCGATACCGCAATTGGCCAGAAATGGATTTATATCGTGTACGTACTTGGTGTTGTTATTCACAACATGCAGTACGTGTTTTCGCGATCATTCGTCCATGCCTTCTCGAAAATATTCATTTTCTTTCCAATTTGTTCATATTAATATGAAATGTAATACTGCATGTAGTCTCGATAAGATCGTAACAGTTTAATTCAAATAAAATCGTGTTTTCGTAACTCACGACGAATTGATTCTGTTTTTACCCCAGACACCGCACACAAAAACAAACGCAAATGTAACGCACAGGCAGGCACCAAACTATATCTCATTTGCATAGGTGTTCAAAAATCTGGCACATGTAAATGATCCAATACCAGGGTGAGAGAGCAGCTAGTGGTGGGCGCGTACTGCTCGACACCCTGGGGACGAGGTTGCACTGTAGTATTTTTTTTTAATCTAAACTTTGACCCTTGACCTGTGACCTGTCATCCTCTTTCCTTGCAGGAGGATCAGATGACCCTGCTCAAGCAGGGTTTCTTTGAGGTCTGGATGATCTACCTGTCCCCCGTCATGCTGAGCGAGGAGCGGCTCATCCTGCTCGGGAGGGACAACGTCTTCGCCCGGGACTTCTTGGCGCGCATGGAGACGCCCGATCTGTGGCGTCACATCTTTGAGTTTGCCACGGGGATTCACCAGCTGCGACTCAGCGACACGGAGGTGGCGCTGTTCGCCGCCATCACCATCATGAGCGGCGGTGAGTCCAAAAAGAAAACAAAGCTTTCAAGAACTCATCACGTAAAGGCATATGGGCTCCGTGGGCCAACAAAAGAAGGCGCGTTTTTACCTCTATTGAGAGCTCCGTGAACGGGACACACAGCGTGCGCGTACTTTACTGGTTGGCGCGCGAAGAAAGTATGCACGACTTCCTGAAATTGCAAAAACTATTAACCACCGCGTCTTCGTGTGAGCGTCAGGTGTCTGCGATAGTCCCCGAGATTAATCCCCGCCTCAAGTAACTCTGGATACCAGGCGCGGTTCTACGGGGGGCTAGGGGGGGCTGTAGCCCCCCAAAAATTTTGTCTAGCCCCCCAAAATAAATGCCGTAAAAAAAAAAAAATTGCATTAGCAAAAAGAAGGATTGTGATGTACATGCGAACGGTCTCCCCCTAAAGAAGAAATAGCCGTGACAAGGGTGCATTAGTTAATATAGTGTGAATGATTTTAGGATTTTATTGGAGCTCCCCATTGGAAATATGGCATGAGCCACGCTGAATTCAGGCCAAATTCAAAACATGATTCAGCAACTTTTGATTTGAAATCGAGATCCTAGAATGTTGTTTTTCTCGAAATGTACAGCTGAAGCTGAGCTGAAACTTCATCAGGTTAGATGTTCAGCACCCTTTTTTAGATTTTGAGCACTTTTGTTGCTTCAAACAAACAAAATGCATATTTTGTTGCTTCAAACAAACAAAATGCAAATATCTTCTAAGCAATAGTTATTACCACATGGTGTTACCGCAAACCGAAACGATACCGATACCCCACCATGCAAAGCCTCAAATCTTATAAAACAAAATGCAGCAATAACAAATGATGGACTGTACCTTTAAAGATTGTACTGGTACTGAACACTGAACTCGAGAAACGTAGGTGATTTCCAACGATCAGTCCATTGTGAATGGTTGTAATGTCTGTTCTTCCAGATCGTGGAGGGATCAAGGAGTCGAAGCAAGTGGAGGATCTTCAGGAGAAGTTTCTGGAGTGTCTGCGGCGCGAGATCTCCAGGCGAGAGGTGAAAGACAATCACCTGTTTGCAAAGGTAGATTATTTGTTTTCACGATTTTAAAACGAATACATGTATTTATGCAAAACCAAATGTCAGGACCATTGTTGTCATGAAGTTGTGCATGTAAGCACTTTCCAAATCTAGGATATGAAAGCCCAATTCATAAGCTTTCTTTTAGTACAAGAATCATTCAAATCACTCATGTAATTTTCAAGTTATGGAATTTTGAACACAACCACCATTTTAAAGTTCTGTCCACGGATCACAAAAAAAGGTAAGTGTTCTTTCAGCAAAACGAAACAAATCACATTGGGATGTCTGTGAATTGTTTTCGTTTTGCTGAAGCAACGCATATTTTTTGTGTGATCCGTATACGGAACTTTAAAATGGTGTTTGTGTTCAAAATATCGTAACTTGAAAAGTATGTGAGTGATTTGAATGACTCTTGTACTAAAACAAAGCTCATGAATTGGGCTTTCATGTCCTAAATTTTGAAAGTGCTACATGCAGAACTTCACTAAAACAATAGTACCAAGATTTGGGTTTTTGTTTTTTGCACTCACCCTGTACATGTCCCTACCTGGGATCCCTCATATAAAGTGGTTCACGGAGCCCCTTCATACAGTTCGTGCATTGGTGTACGTGTTCTACATAACCCCCAAGGACTGACACACAAAGGGAGAACAACAGATCCTCTCAGTCCTCGGGAGTTGGGTCTTTTGTTGGAAACGGTCCTCTGTAGTAGGTAAGGCAGAGTGTTATATTACAGGGATAAGGGAAACACAGAGCTTTGACCTTGAGAGTATAGTAAAACACAACCGCACCACCCACACAGTTGTTCTGCAAATTCTTAGTCATTGCTGTGACATTATTTCCCCGTATTTCCAATCATGCATCCACAATATTTCTCCCTTTCCCATACTCTTTAGGTCCTGATGAAGATGCCACTACTGTACTCCACCTCCACCTAATCTTCCTCCCATTCTTATACTCTTAAGGTCCTGATGAAGATGCCGCTACTGTGCTCCACCTCCACCTAATCTTCGTCCCTTTCCCATACTCTTTAGGTCCTGATAAAGATGCCGCTACTGTGCTCCACCTTTACCTAATCTTCTTCCCTTTCCCATACTCTTATGGTCCTGATGAAGATGCCGCTACTGTGCTCCACCTCCACCTAATCTTCCTCCCTTTCCCATACTCTTTAGGTCCTGATGAAGATGCCGCTACTGTGCTCCACCTCCACCTAATCTTCCTCCCTTTCCCATACTCTTAGGTCCTGATGAAGATGCTGTTACTGTGCTCCACCTCCACCTAATCTTCTTCCCTTTCCCATACTCTTAAGGTCCTGATGAAGATGCCGCTACTGTGCTCCACCTCCACCTAATCTTCCTCCCTTTCCCATACTCTTTAGGTCCTGATGAAGATGCCCCTACTGTGCTCCACCTTTACCTAATCTTCTTCCCTTTCCCATACTCTTTAGGTCCTGATGAAGATGCCCCTACTGTGCTCCACCTCCACCTAATCTTCCTCCCATTCTTATACTCTTAAGGTCCTGATGAAGATGCCGCTACTGTGCTCCACCTCCACCTAATCTTCCTCCCTTTCCCATACTCTTTAGGTCCTGATGAAGATGCCGCTACTGTGCTCCACCTCCACCTAATCTTCCTCCCATTCTTATACTCTTAAGGTCCTGATGAAGATGCCGCTACTGTGCTCCACCTCCACCTAATCTTCCTCCCTTTCCCGTACTCTTAAGGTCCTGATGAAGATGCCGCTACTGTGCTCCACCTCCACCTAATCTTCCTCCCTTTCCCATACTCTTTAGGTCCTGATGAAGATGCCGCTTCTGTGCTCCACCTCCACCTAATCTTCTTCCCTTTCCCGTACTCTTAAGGTCCTGATGAAGATGCCGCTACTGTGCTCCACCTCCACCTAATCTTCCTCCCTTTCAAATACTCTTTAGGTCCTGATGAAGATGCCGCTACTGTGCTCCACCTCCACCTAATCTTCCTCCCTTTCTCATACTCTTTAGATCCTGATGAAGATGCCGCTTCTGTGCTCCACCTCCACCTAATCTTCTTCCCTTTCTCATACTCTTAGGTCCTGTTGAAGATGCCGCTACTGTGCTCCAACTCCACCTAATCTTCCTCCCTTTCCCATACCCTCTAGGTCCTGATGAAGATGCCGCTACTACGCTCCACCTCCACCTAATCTTCCTCCCTTTCTTATACTCTTTAGGTCCTGATGAAGATGCCTCTACTACGTTCCACCTCCACCTTGCAGATGGAGACCATGCTACGTTTCCGCATGGAGTTCCCCAACGTCACCATCCCGATGCTGCTCGCCGAGCTGAACAACGTCGCCGGCGAGGATGCGGAGGATCACATCATGATGCCGCTCATGAGCGAGGTGCTCGGCCTCAACGGAAACCAGTGAGTGATGGTTTGTTTCAAGCGCAAACAGAAGCGTAGCCAAAAATTTGTCATTGTGGAGAGAGAGGGGGGTGTTTACCCCCCAAAAATTCCGAAATTTCAATATGCTGGACGGCCTTGTTAATAATGGATTCAACCCGCAATAGTGCGCCATGTGCGGGCCGTATGCAGAGATTACATTCAGCACGTTGATCAGTATGCAAGGTTGACCCCCCCCCCTTTTATTATTGTTTTTTGCCATGGCCGTATTAAACCCCTCCCCCACCTTTCGCTATGCCACTGAGCTCAAAGATGTAATGTACCGGTACGTGCTATTTTCAACTTTCATCCCAGAAATTAGATTATTGTTTTAAATTGCCATTTTTTTCTAGCAACACAAAAAGTTGCTCACTTTAAATGAACCGTCGAATGAAAACAGTCTGCCCACGTTTAATTTAGCAGAATAATTACTTAACAAATTTTGAAGTATTTATCAGAATCAGCTGACTGGTTTTAGATTGGGTTTTGCCCTTTGCCGACGTATTTATAAACACTGTTTACTCTGTGTTGTTTGAGGGCTTGCGAGAATAAAATCACAAGCTTACTCAGGTGGGACTCGAACCCATGACCTCCTACTTACTGGTGCAGACGTCTTACTGGTTGACCACCGAGCCTGCAGGGGTCAGCTGGCCCATTGAGTCTGATGTAGCAGTGGGTTCCACAACCAAACTTTTCGTAAGATGGTGCTCACCTAAAGAAGCTGTGATGAAAGGACTAGGAACAGTCTTCTTGCAGGGCGGATCTGTTTCTGCTCAAATCATAATAGTCCTTCCAATAGACCTGAGAGCGTATGGGAGCGAAGTCGGGACGCCAGATAAAGTGGGGACCGTCTACTACATAGGAAAGCGCACATGTGTAAACAAAGCGTGACGTGATTACGTCTCAGGCTTACTTTTTTGTTTGTTTTCTCTTGTTAAAAAATTAGGCGGAAAAGACCTCACGACATCGCGGAGCGTCTCCCCCTGACGAAGATCACAAAGGAAGGCGGTCTGTTTCAGCCGCCCAAGGCCGTCGGTGGGGTGCCCACCCAGCGTTCCCCGTCATCGTCAGAACACGAAGAAGTCAACATGGTGGTGTCGATGATGACGGCCGCGACGTGAGAACGCCGACAAGAGATCGGTTCATTTTTGTACATTAAATTCATCAATCATTCATGTGAAACAATGGGCGACGCCGAGTTTGCACAAAAAAACGACGTTACTTGCAACCGTCGTTGGGGAGCAATCCGAGCGGAGCCAAGCAGGGTTTGAACTATCATTGCAACGTAAATGCACATCTTGTGTTTTTCTGTGGGATTCAGGACTCTAGATTTTTAATTGTGAGAGAGCTGTTTGTATATGTCATCCACATTTTGTAGGAGCCTTGTTGTGCCATTGCCTTAAAAGGCGGCAGACTCAGGCAAAATAACATGTCATACAGTTGTACCTTTTTTTAAGGAGTGGCATATCTATAATCGCTTGCGTTCAACATTTCCCGATCTGTGGTCTAGTTGTACAATTTCTGCAGAGCCCGGCCTTAATGAGATCCAGTTACATGATGTCAAGGTACCAAGTGACTATCTAGTTTCACCGTGGTCGGCCACCATGGCAGTAGGCAAGTGTCTGGTTAGACAGTAGGGGTATAATGTTCACATAATTCTTTATCAAATGGCATAATGGTCACTACCTGTGCCATGTACGGTTGTCATGATCGTGCCGACCCAGCACCGGGTGTGGTTCCATGGTTTCTCTCACAGTTTTTGCCATCCATCACAGCTTGAAGGCTTGCCTACTACCTACCGCACGCGGCGCTATATGATCTTTGCCAACGACAATGGTGACGCTGACTTTCCAATCACGACCCTACCTAGAGTCGTGAACTTTTAGTAAGGCTGTGTCCAAACGACATTGGCTATGGTAAACAATTACAACAGCGTATATGGGAAGCAGCTGAAGCCGATTCCTATCAAGGGCTGATCCAGAACACAATTTTTTTGGGGGGGGCCCAAAAAAATTTTGGTCCCCCAAAAAAGTTGGTCAAAAAAAATAACGGCGTGGGGTTCGGGGCCCGCTTAAGGGCCCTGAAATCTTTTTGGATTCTAGATGCTCTGTGGTGCGATCTGAGGCAATTTCTGACCACTTTAACCAATGTTTTTTTGAGGAAAAGATGGTGGTGTACTCATTGCCTGCCTTTATTGCGATGTCACATAAAAAAAAAAAAATGGTTTCGTTTGGGGGGGGGGGGGCATGGCCCCCTTTGGCCCTCCCTGGATCCGCCCTTGATTCCTATAGATGAGCGTGTTACGGCTAGCCTTACCCAAGTCATTCGAAATGCAGCCCAAGTCAAGAATAAGTCCATGTGTAATAGACCCCTCTCATAGACAGCCATCTTTGTAGGCAAATTACAACTGCGCATTCAACGCCATCCAGAAGGTGTGCAAAATAGCATGTTGGTCAAAATTCCTTCAAAATGCGGCACAGCTGATGCGCGTCATGAAAATTTGACTCCAAAATGCAGATGCAGGTGTTTCAATCTGTAGGAAGTGACATCATTTGAGAGATATCTACTTCCAACAATGATGATGTCTCAGGGCACTTTTCATCCAATTCATGTGTATTTGTGATTCTAATGGCATTTGTGATTCTATTGGCATTTACGACTTGAAAAATTTGAAATTTTGTTGTCTGGTCAACCTTCAGACTATAAACATGTATTTTTTTTGGGTCAGGGCATTTAATACCAAATGTTACCGTACAAGTTAATAAAATATACCACCGAAGCATACAGATATATAACTGTATGAATTCACCAAAAAAAATACCACCGAAGCATGGAGCAGAGTCAACGTTCTTTGTGCATTGCATCTGAACAGTCCTTAAAACCAATAGACTGATTCGATAGGCCCCGCGCCAGGCGCGGTTCTAGAACCAATATTTGGGGGGGGCTAGCATGGTGGAAGCAGAATTTTTTCAGGGAGGCGTGCTGAAATGTGGACCGGTTATTTTTTCCAGACGCTTAGGCCTCCGAAAATCAATAGGTTGGGGGGGGGGGGGGGGGGGGGGGCTCATGTCATATTTTCAATGGGGAGCACCAATAAAATCCTAAAATCATTCACACTATATTAACTAATGCACCCTTGTCACGGCTATTTCTTCTTTAGGGGGAGACCGTTCGTATGTACATGTACATCACAATCCTTCTTTTTGCTAATGCAATTTTTTTTTTTTTTACAGAATTTATTTTGGGGGGGCTAGACAAAATTTGGGGGGGGGGGGGGCTACAGCCCCCCCTAGCCCCCCCGTAGAACCACGCCTGCCCCGCGCACGGGGCAACAATACCAGCACCCCTAATTCCTATGCCTTACTGCATGTACCAAACACGCGCGTTGTATGGGAGTGCACGCATTTCGGACATTTCAAAAACTTCAGGAGTCGGGGCTTAGAAAATCAGTCTATTCTCAAATTTTTCAGAGAAATGTGGCGTTTGAGGAACGGAAGTAATTTCTTCACTTCCATATCAATGCAATGCATCACTGATGAAAGTTTGTTATTTTATTTTTTTTTTTATTATTTGATTTCCCATCCAATGCAACTTGGAATATTGACAGCTCAAATTTATCAGCAAAGAGATCGATATATATTTTTCATTTTGTAAAAGGTAGCAGTAAGTTATTCATACATTGTATAATAATGTTTTTACAATTATTGTTATTATGATTGTTTAGATTAAGATTGTGTTTTACGTGGTGTTGTAATGTGTTTTCCATTGTTTCACTGCCCACCGATAATTTTGTTTTTTAAAGTGCATGGAAGTGATTTGAATTGTACTGAGAAACAATGAAATGAAATAGCGAATGAAACAGAAACTGAATCCTGTTTTAACAACTGAAATAGAAGCATTTGTCTGAAATTTGGAGGGAAACAATTCTGTTTATAAAATCTTAAAGAAGATAGAATGGAATGAAGATACTACGGAGCTGGGCACAATTTACTTTTATTTGCTAGGAATGCCACTTTAAGCCCCCCAAAACACAGAAGGCACTGCTAGCGTTATGAATGGAAGTGTAATGTCCGTGACACAGCCAGTTAACCATGATGAAATGATTCGGAGAAATGATCCAAAACTCCTTGTCTGTAATCTCCTTGACCCATTCATCATCATCATCATCTAGGGGTCGCAACCGAGATCTCGTTCACAACGCCACACCAGGTGTCTTTATCCCTCATTATGTACAGAAGGTCTTCAGTTTCACATTGGGTGACCATTACTAGATGATGAGTGTATCAGATTTGAAAAATACATTTTCAGGTTTGTTCACTGAGATCTTAAATGCCTTGTCATGATCTCATGGACACTACATAACGATCCAAAAATGATCCCAAAACTCCTTGTCCATAATCTCCTTGACCATTACTAAATGGTGAGTGTATACATTTTCAGGTTTATTTTGAGTGCGTTCGATTACTTCCCCCAGCTTACTCGCGCCTGCTCCTCGCGTGATGACAGACATGCGCAATGGAGCTACATGTAAATAAACGAACGGTTTCGGGTAAAGTTTCATGCAAGAGCTGGGAAGTTGAACTTTGACATGACACTGAGGCTGCATCGGAATCAACTGTCTAGAGCTAGGTCTAGGTCCGCGCCCATTGAAAATACGCGGGGAAGGGCTGAGAATAGACGTAGCTGTAGCTCTGGAAGCGCACGGCCTCTGGCGCTAGCCGGACGTCACGTTGGCAGCCATGTTTATTGCATGGCCTTATTGGATACTTACCCAACTAACCGGCTCTGCGAGTCGGTCACTTGGGCCAGGCTCGAGTAAGCGCGAGAAGTCACGTGAGAGGTAAATTGAACTCTGTCGTGCTTGCACGAGTAAGCGCGGGGGAAGTAATCGAACGCGATCTCACTGAGCTCTTAAATGCTCTGTCACGGACATTACATAACGATTGCTTTGCCCTTGGGTATTCACACAGCACGTCACATATAAAGAAAGCATCATAGGATAGGCCTACATTTTGTACACGTACATCGGTTGTGCTGCACCTTTGAGAAGTACAAAAAATAAGACGATATCATTAATACTAGACACTTTGAATATACCAGTAGCAGCCATGTTGAAGGTGTTTGTTTGTTATTTGACTTCTTTCACAACGCAAAAAAAGGTCTACTATAGGGGGGAAAAAAGCACAACATTTCCAAGATGGCTGCCACATCACTTCAAAGTAGTCAAGTTCATCATATTTGTCATGAATTCCTTGCTGTTTTTTTTCCCCAAACATATGCAGTGAGTTGGAGATTGGATGTCATTCAATTGACTTACAAATTCCGTGGGACTTTGTTTCCTTCACGAAGAATACCTCGTATAGTTTGAAATACAATAACATTGTTTTATTAGACATATGTAAATTAGTTCTTTAATTATGCAGTTAATGGAGAAGTGCATATTCATGAGTGCATATATTATATCTGTATTTTTAGATACAAGACAGAATGTTGCGGGGATAATTCAAGTGTATGGGTGTTAAGGTTGATTAATTTTTTTATATTGTAAAGTTGTGGATTGAATTCTTGAATGAACTGAACTGATTGACAAGGGATAGTCTTGGCCCAAGACTGGAGTTGGATTCGATTCCGGCTAATGCAGCTGGTCCCAATGATGAGAGGGCATTATTAACAAGAAAAATCCAGCCTTGGCACAAGACTAGACTAGGGGAAGAAAGGAATTCTAGTGAGCCTCGCCCAGTTTCAAGGGTCGCACACGCATGAATACCAAAGTAAAAAGAGTGATTAATTTCAGATGTTTGTTTCTAAAACTTATTGAAAAAAAAAAAATAAACGAAATTTAAAAAATCCCAGATTTGACTTTTTTGCAAAGAGGTATATTTAAACAATCAAAATGTTGATTTTTGTAACATTGGGTACTGTACATAATATTTTGTAAAATATTAAAAACAAAAACAAAAAAAAACACCAAAATGTTTATATAACCTTGTACAGAATAATGGTTTTGATGTTGTTTACATTGTATTTCTCCTCTACTTTGGTAATTGGCTGACTTTAAGGCAATTTAAAGTTACATAATTTAAAGAGAGTTTGTAAGGGGAACAATTATACTTTTTAAAATACATAACATTTTCATTTGCTGTTTTTTTTCTCCAGAAATGGATGACTTGGGGGTTAGTATTTTATAGCAAATATTGTTGCACTGACGTGTTTACAGTTTTGTGTTCATACATGCTGGAAAAACTATGACTAAAATGCTGTTCTTGTGGACTGGTTCCCTGACCCTACTTCAGGACGAAACAGAGCAATTTATAGACGTTGGGAAATTGTCAGGTCAGGGAACCAGACTATAGGCTTGTACCCATACACAGGTGTGTAATTGATTGCCAAAAAAAAAAGGGTACTAACTAAAGTTGGTAAAATGGGGGCAGTTTTTGAAAAAAAAAGTCAGATTTTTTTCCAACGATGGTCCACCGACCATCACTGGATATTGATACAAAAATACCAATTATGTTGAAAATGACAGCACACCGGATGCCATGATTTCACAGGATGCTTGAGACTGTTGTTCACTTGCAGTCCAATAAGGTATTTCATAATAATTTGGTAGTTTTGGTTTTTTTTTATTTTTGCAAATGTTGTATGTTACCTTTAAGGCCAGTGTAGTGAGGAATGTGGACTCTATGAAATACAGACCCATTGGTTGTATTGGGCATGCCTAAATGAAGATAGTTATAGGACAGTGACAGGCCACATGTGAGGAGTCCATATAAGGTCAAGAGACTACATTTTATAGGAGTCCAAATTGCATAGGACATTGCAATATTTGCACTGTGAATTTGTGAATATTGACATTTCAACACACCCCCCCCCCCCATTTTTTTTTTTTGCCGTGAACATATTTGTGACGTCATATTTACTCTGCATTGGGCATTTGTGTAAAGTTTTGTCTGTTTGCTCCAAATGTATCGTATCCACTAAGTTGAAACTTGAACAAGTTAGTTGTGATGCAGACTTCTTATGATTTGAGCAATTCTGTTGCTTCAAACGAGGGGAAAAGGCACAAAAAATTTATCCTACGTACCTTTAAGAAAGGTTCAAGAATTTGTTTTGTTTAGTAGACGACTTTTAATTTAATTGCATCCTCAACCATTGTCATATTTTGAAATAACTATTGTACCCTCAGCGCATATGGTATTTAATACTAAATTGACACGATGTAGGGCTGTATTTTTATTAAAAAATAATGCAATTCATGTATTGTCTTTATTGAACCGAATCCGTGCTTAATGTGTTTCATTCCCTGTTTTTCAGTGCTATATACAGATACTGAATGTTTATGAGTGCAATGGTAAGAATAATTTTGCGCGGTGACAGATGGACTGTTCCATTTCACAAGGTGAAGCTGATTGGAATGGAACATTCCATCTGTCAGTGACTTTAATTATTTTGTCTGTTGCACAAATATGAAACATTTGTTGTTTGATTTAATAGACAACACCTGAATAAATCCTCGTCATCTGATATGTGATTGTACAATGGAAGTTGTATCAACTGCGGAATGGAATTTCCATTTTTGTTTTAACTCGTCTAACTTGCAAGGCAATTTGGGATTGGTTTGGGGTTCAAAGGTCAAAGTTTAAGGTCACCGTAGTGAGTTAAAAGGTTAATGGTTTCTGGATAACTTGAGTTACAATTGAGATTTTGGTGGAAGAAGGATTTTGAACGAGTTAAATTTGATAAAACGCTCCGATGAAAAGCGCTACACAATGCAATTTGTTTTGGGGATTGTTAAAAAAACTGTATTCAACATTATTGGATCTTCAAAGGGTTCAAATTTCCCAGCCATTTCGATTTGGTTTATTATCGATCTTACATTTTTAATGAAATTTGGCAAAAAAGCTTATCTTCAAACAATGCATGCTTTGGCAGTAAGAGCAACATGTTGCGGCATTGAATTGAAATTTTGTGTATTTGTTAAACGTGATGGATAACACAGAATGGAGAGGAATTGTCAAATAATATGAAGACTACAATCGAAACAATGTTCTGCACTGTCACGGAAAAAAAACAACACCTGCTGAAATTAATCAACAGTAATTTTCTTTCAAATGAGGGCGCGCTACACAAAGAGTGGTCAACACTGTCAAGAATTTTTGTCAACACGTGATAAACCTGCCTAACTTAAGTCAACTTTTGTGTAGAATTACAAACACGACGCACTCGGTTTCCAGACGATTACTTAAGAAATAAACTAAAAATAAAATTAACATATCCAGAAAATGTTCCGTGCGAAAAAAAAATACACGGCGAATTAGGAGTCAACTTTCAATATTGAAAAAAAAAAAACCACACACACACACTCGGTTTTCAGAACCGATATCTCAAGAAATGTATGTTGCATTGAATTGAAAATTCGTACAATAATTACTTATGACAGAAAACCAAAGACAGTTGAAATTGGAAAGGAATCGTAAAATAATACTACCAAAAAAATATACAGCGAAAACAACTTACTGTTTAAAACACGGAGAAAAACAACTTACTGTTTTAAACACGGAGAAAAACCTACCGTATAAAGCAATCCTTAATTTTCTTTCAAAGGAGGGCGCGCTACACAAATAGTGGTCATCACCTAAAACGAATTTTGTCAAAGAATAGCTACCTAAAACCGAAACACATTTCCCATTTCCTAAGCAAAAAGAAAAACGGATTTACGAAACCCATTTCCCATTTCCTTAAACAAAAAGAAAAACGGATAACGAAACTCAATTCCTATTTCCTTAAACAAAAAGAAAAACGGATAACGAAACCATTTCCCATTTCCTAAGCAAAAAGAAAAACGGATAACGATACCCATTTCCCATTTCCGAAGCTCAAAGAAAAACGAATAACGATACCCATTTCCCATTTCCAAAGCTAAAAGAAAAACGAATAACGATACCCATTTCCCATTTCCGAAGCTAAAAGGAAAACGGATAACAGATATCGATTCTCCCATTTCCCATTTCCATACGCAATAGGATAACGGATATCGATTCTCCCATTTCCATTTCCATTCGCAAATAGGATAACGGAATTCGAATCCCAAATCCCAAATCCTATCGAGAACAAAATGAGGAATTCGCAGTGCATGATGGGAAATTCGGAACTTTTTCGCAACTTCGTCCCCTGGGCTTACTTTATTTGTCAATTCTTTTCATATTGTTAAGTACCTGTGAATGCGTACTGCTCAACACCACGCAAACGAGGTTGCACTTGACACCGTTAATTGTGAAGAGCGCCACCTAAGTTTGACAAAGTGCTTTTGTTAACAATTGCCAATCTCACGTGGTTCGATGCATATTCGTAATAATTGGCGCCGGGCAAAATGGTGGAGGACTTTCGACAAATTCAACGTCACAACAGTCCAAGTAAGTTTGCCAATAATGGCCTGAAAATGTAACCATTTGGCCTTCGGAAGTTAGGTGGGAGTGACTGAACTACTGTAGATACTTCAGAAGTTGACGAACTGTTGAAAACACGACTGGAACCTGAGTTTTTAGAGAAGGAATTCCTTCAGTTATCTTTTTCTTTTCTCCATTTTCCCGAGAATCTGGTGAGATGGGCGTGGTTATGAATATGAAGGTGGAAAGAATGTTGCAACCTGACTTGTTTCTTCATATAGGCCCCATCATCTCAATAAAGGTCAGTCATTGCAAAAATGTTGAAAAGACATGAATCTGAGAAATATTTCCAATTTTGTTAGGGAAATATACTTAGAAAATTGTCTTGACTTAGCCTAATTTGGAAAGAATGTTCTAATTCTACCTCCATGGTTGCAACTAGCCCCATAAATGTGGCCTATGTACTGGACTGCCTCCGTAAACATAGGCCACACATCCACATGTACAAAAATCGTGTCGACTTTGCCAAATTTTGATTTTCACATTTAGGCTTAGTTTGTAGGGTTTTTTTGCTTTAGAAGCATACTCACCCTCTTTATAGGCTAGTCAGAAAGTGCTGCCTTTTTCAGATGTCTAATTTTTGTGAAATTTCATGTTGAAATTTTGATACGCAAACGTGTAAAAATGAATCTGGAAATTTCACGAAAAATAAACATCTGAAAAAGGCAGCACTTTCTGATTAGCCTATAAAGAGGGTGAGTACGCTTCTAAAGCAAAAAAACCCTACAAACTAAGCCTAAATGTGAAAATCAAAATTTGGCAAAGTCGACACGATTTTTGTACATGTGGATGTGTGGCCTATGTTTACGGAGTCAGTCCAGTAAATAGGCCACATTTATGGGGCAAGGTTGCAACCTGATGTAGCCCAATAAATAAATGTGGCCAATTCAATGGACTACCTCCGTAAATAAAGGCCACACTTGGAACATGTACCCAAATATGTAAAACTTGAAAAAAATTCCGTACTGGGCCACAACTTTTCTTCAATAAATTTTCATGCGCCAAAAGTTGTATCCTTTATGGTTATTCCCTCCACTTTCCCTCCTCTACTCTCACCCTCTCCTTTCCTTATTCCTATTTATTAATCAGTCACTTACTTCATCGAGATTCGAACCTCAGACTCTTGTTTGAAACACGAGACTCTTAAACGCTAGGCCGCGCACGATCGCTGTTGCAATAATCAATCTTTGGACGTATTTGAAGTAGCCATTGAAATAAACTAAATATTCATGAGAAAATAAATATTCATAATGACGTATTGCACTCTCATTGGCCGGCTCATGCGACGTCATGGTTGTCGATGTCATGCGATGTCATGCGTACCGCTGTCTGTCAGCCACTTCAATCAGTTTTGACCGGCTGCTTCAACTTAGTTCTGCACGACGTGTGCATCCAAAATGGGCTCTAAAAACACATTTTGCCTAATTTTTTTTCGCATTAACACAGCTTCCTGGATTCCTCTTAGGTGAAATCCGAAGGTGAGGTGAAAATTGATGTGTTTAGCGGCAGGTAAATTTGTGTCCCAGTATGGAATTTTTCCCTAAAACTTTGTCAAATTTGGATTTTCACATTTTAGGCTTTATTTGTAGTTTATTTACACTTCAGAAGCATAATCACCCTTTTTAAAGCGATAGAAAATGTATCCCCCCTTTTTCAGACATCAACTTTTCGTGTAATTTCGTGTTGGAATTTAGATATGCAAACGTGTCCAAACAAACATGGAAATTCCATGAAATATAGATGACTGAAAAAGGGGGGATGAATTGAATCTGGTATTTTATAAATTACAGCATTTTATAATTTGACCAAAGGCAATGAAAGTAGGATAGTTCAAATTACGTGAACATCTATTTGTATGCCGAGATTGATCTTTCTTGCAGGCATGCATGAAAATGCACAAGACCCCTGGATTGTGAGTGTTCAGTTTGCAAGTGGAGTTGTTCGTTGGATTGTTCGGAATCATCGGCAAAGGGGGACAAGGTTGCATGTTAAAGTGAGGTGAGGTAACCATTTTTCTTTTCAGCTCAAGGCCACCTGTACTTGTTCCCCCTCCCCCCTCCCCCCAATTTTCGGACTAAGACGTCCCATGTGTTGTTCAGAGTGAGTCAAACAAAGATTCTTGTACTTTTTTATGTGCAAACAAATTTGAATCTTTCCTGATTCTATAAGGCCAAAAAAAAAGACTCCGGTTTCTGGTATGCGCGCGCGTCGCCGTAGCCATGCACGTCAGCAAAATGAAATTTTTTTTTTCAATGAAAGATGATGTCTCAAAACGCCAAACTCACTGGTTTGACTGGAATCTTGCTGCTGCACAATTTTAACGTGTTTTTGGATGGGGTTATGTTCGAGAATAAGCTTTATGTGGCCTCTCTGGACTCCCATATATTTGCACTAAGTTTAGTCGGGCACCATTTGCAGTCATCAGCCGACATTTGAGGCCAAAAAAATCAGGTAAAAAAACAAAAAAGCCGCGTCGCCGCACCACTTTTTGGGCAAGCTCCATACCAGAAACTGGAGACTTTTTTTTATGGCCTAAGTTGTAGCAACTGCTGTACATGTGAACCAATTTGAGCGAGGATTTAATCAATTTAAAAAAAGTAACACAAATGCTCTCATAAACAAGTCAGGTGTGTTTACAAACACAAATGCCCCGCAACCGTGACTGTTCCCATGACATAACACCACTCTTTTAACATCAACTTACATGTACCTTGGTCACATGGAATGTTTATTGACAGCATTAGTGTTTTCTGTAGGTTTTATATGAATCAATCTCAGAATAAATACAAGATTTCTATTGTTTTAGCCAATGTGACCTTGACCCTTGACATTTCAACCCCCAATGCAATAGGCTTTTTCATATTACAGGTGTACCAAGATTTTGGCCGTTTTGGGTAAAAAATGAAATGTTTGTTTTCTGCCTGGATCTTGACTTTAGTGAGCTAAATTCTCTTGGGGATTTATTTCTGGCATCTACCCACCTTGTGTGAACATGTGACATAGTTTCGTGAAGTTGGATTTTTTGGCCAAAAGTTAGTATTTTTGATGACCGCGGATATGGAAAACTTTTCAGATTTTGGCCTTTTTGGGTAAAAAAATGAAATGTTTGTTTTCTGCCTGGATCCTGACTGTAGTGAGCTGAAATTTCTTGGGGATTTATTTCTGGCATCTACTCACCTTGTGTGAACATTTGACTTAGTTTCGTGAAGTTGGATTTTTTGGCCAAACATCAGTATGACCGCAGATTTGGAAAACTTTTCAGATTTGGACCATTTTTGCAAAAAAAAATGAAATGTTTGTTTTCTACCCGGATCCTGACTGTAGTGAGCTGAAATCTCTTGGGGATTCATTTCTGGCATCTACTCACCTTGTGTGAACATTTGACTTAGTTTTGTAAAGTTGTGTTTTTTGGCCAAAAATCAGTATTTTTGATGACCGCGGATATGGAAAACCTTTCAGATTTGGACCATTTTTGCTAAAAAACTGAAATGTGTGTTTTCTGCCCGGATCCTGACTGTAGTGAGCTGAAATTTCTTGGGGATTCATTTCTGGCATCTACTCTCCTTGTGTGAACATTTGACCTAGTTTTGTGAAGTTGAATTTTTGTCCAAAAATTAGTATTTTTGATGACCACGGATATGGAAAACTTTTCAGATTTGGACCATTTTTTGGTAAAAACTGAAATGTTTGTTTTCTGCCTGGATCCTGACTGTAGTGAGCTGAAATCTCTTAGGGATTCATTTCTGGCATCTACTCACCTCGTGTAAACATTTGACTTAGTTTCGTGAAGTTGGATTTTTTGGCCAAACATCAGTATTTTTGATGACCGCGGATATGGAAAACTTTTCAGGTCTACTTCACTCAACTTACCTGTAGAGCAATACTACTTATGCATATTCCCCCTACCGGCAGGTATTTTCCACTAAGAGTTATATACAATAGCGCCCTCTGGCGCCCTACCCATAATACCCTGCGGCATGTGTGCCTCGTGAGCGTCCTCTTTTCTCTTGGCAGGTCGGGTAGGATGTCTGTAAAATAGCTCCTGTTTTTCCTCGTCAATTTACTACCCTTTTTTCGCTCAAGAGAAGTTTTTAATTAAAAGAGTTAATAAAACAACAGTTTGTAGAGTTTCTCATCATCTTCTTGGTTATATTTATTCGATTATTATGAAGCGTTTGGGGAGAACCGATCTGTCACAAACCGGGGGGAATTCCTCTCCCACGGGACGGACCGAGTTCTCGGGGGACTCTGCCGTTAACGCTGCATCGTTACCGCGGCAGCAATCCCTCGTCAAGCACCCTCAGCCACTGCTGGCTGGGGGCATTGGTAGTTCTGCTGACAAGTTAAAGGGTCCTCGGTCTCCTTCTCTGTTCAATTCAAGTGGAACACCCAGGCAAAAGGCACGTTCCGGCAAGGTTTCTTTAAAACATACCTCCTGTGCCAGAGCGAAGCCTAAAAAGAGCCGACAGGGCAAGCGTGGCTTGGGTACGAGTGCCGCTATAGCCCCCGGCCCTTCCCCGAGCGCGGGGCAGCCTGAGGGGACACATCCATATTGGTCGATGTCAATTACATGTACTCAAATGGTCAATCTCAGAAAGCCATCAATCAATCCCACGGTCAGGCCAACTCAGTTGTTTGTTTTCTCAGCTGCATACCTCTTGAACTTTGCCCAGATGATTTTGTGTGGCCGTGTTAGCAAAGCTTTCTGTACGCCGTGCCACATAGGCTAAGGCCTTCACTGGTATCAACGAATTCTATTCGGCTTGAGTTGTTTTGATGACTACCATAATGGACTTACCTGACTCATGACGACCTCTACCCATCTGTCTCGTGGGAGCTCGTCAGAGAGACTTTGAGGCTGACATCAATATCATTGGGCCAACACAGTGTTGCGCCCCTCTTGCATTTCCCTTGGGAAGATGTTGATGAGATTTAGTCGACTGTCTAACACATCAGCATGGGGAACAAGCCCTGGCCTGAAGGGTACACAACTGCAACTCCTGTTCAGGCCAGAGCACTGAGAATTTTGCGGTTTTCAAACAAAGATTCTCGCTGCAACTTCATGGTGGCCCCATCCAGCCGTTTTTCCGCCTCACTCCTGGCCTCTGCTCATATAGTAAAGGCAATTTGGCTGTGCTGTGGAAACAAAGATTGGTGGCATTCACCTATTTTTCTTGTACCGGCCCAGTCAGCACTGCATTCAGTGGGGTAGGAAAAAAATCCTTTCTTTCTTTCCTTCTTTTCTGCCTGGCGTCGTTACCCCATCCTTTGCAGTTGACCAGTGAAGAGGTTTTTACCTTGTTTCTGGAATTAGGCAAAGGACTGCCAGTTTTCTCTCCTTTCCCTTTGCTCATCTGTCCTATCATTTCTTTGCTGTCTATTCTCAGTAATAGTCCAGACCCTTCTGATTTTGGTGCTGGCCTGGAGCCCTCTCTGGATTCTTAGAACTCTGCCTCTCCGTAGGGTACTGGAAATAAACATGTTGCAGGTCATGGCCGCCTGGTAGTACAGGGTCCCGAACTCATTGGTAATGCTCTGAGAGGCTGACCTATCAACAGGTGTAAAAGGTCGAGGTGGTTGTACTGCCATGGACATGCATGGATTGGTGGTCCGTGCACCCACTTTCGGTTGCATTCCTGAGGCCATCGGGGTGACTTTGTTACGGCAATGTGTTCGTTTGAGTTCCTTTGATTCCTTTGAGTGCTTTAGGCCATTATCAGTCCTTGGACTGACTGACTCTCTTTTTAATCTCTTTCTAACAAAATGCAAACATGACAACACAAACAAAGAATACAGAATCCTTACCTGCCCACGCAAATCCACCTTCTCGTGCACAGCGTTCAAAGCCTCTTGGTATTGCTTTTTCAAATATCATCCTATACAGTGTTTAAACGTCGGTGAAGGGCAAAAACCTAACCTAATTTAATTTATATCACCCCGACGCAAAATTCCATCTTATAATCAAGGGGTTTTCGTTCTAACTTCACTTCCGTTCAGTCTTTTGTTGTTAACAACTCACCTTTACTTGTTAGCTCTGTCCGAGAGTAGACTGAACAACAACATTTCTTCTGATTCATTGAAATTACCTGGTTATATCTTTCATCGCCCTGACCATCCTCCATCTCATGGTCTGGGTGTCTATGTTAAAGAAAGCCTGCCTTTAGCCCATGAAAGCACCTTGGAATGCAACAACCACGAATACATGTGTTTTCGGCTCTCTCTTCTCCATTCCACAACATATCTGTACTTTTTGTATCGTTCACCTTCTACTTCATCCTGTGCAGTGCTTGATGCGATCTCAGATAGCATCGACCGTGCTATTTCCCAGCACCCTGCTTCTCAAGTCATGGTGTTTGGTGACTTCAATGTTCATCACAAGGAGTGGCTGATTCACTCTCGTAATATTGACATTCCCGGTATTGCAACATATAATTTTTCCATCTCGCAAGGTTTTACTCAGATTGTAGCTTCCCCTACTTATATTCCGGACCGAGCTTTCGATGGTAGGTATCTATTGGATCTCTTTTTGTGCTCTAACCAAGACGACTGTGTTGCCAAGGTCTTGCCCCCAATTGGTAACTCAGATCACTCAACTATTTCTGTCTCTGTTTCATATTCTTCCCCCTCAACTACATTTCAGCCTTTCCACCGTACTGTTTTCCAGTTTGGAAAAGCTGACTGGGATGGTTTTCGATCTTTTGTTGTCGACGTTCCTTGGTCAACGATCTTGAAACTTGGTCCTGATTTGGCTGCAGATGAGTTATCCCAATGGATTAACCTTGGTATGGAGATATACATCCACGTACCTACCAGATCAAGGCCCATTCCCAACCTTGGTACACCCCAACTTGTGCTGCAATGATTGCTCATCGTAACCATTTTTGTAAGAAGTATCATCTCTTAGGAACTTTGGATAGTAAACATCTCTTCCGTGAAGCTCGTAATTGCTGTAAGAGAGTTTTAGAGGATGCAAAGCAGCAGTATGCAAACTCAGTTG